GTATCAAGTCCACTGTCAGATTCTGGGAATCATGACAACTACTATGGCAGACGACTTCGGACTAGGTGTGCTCTACATAGTCTCCCTGAAAACAAGACCAAGTTGCGACGAGGCCAACCCACTTCTATAAATCGAAAGGAAACTGCGACCATACCAGAGGCCACAACATCTTGGTCTTCATATCTTCAATCTACAGAAAGAATTAATATGCGAGAATAATCCTTAATTTTCAGTCTCATCATAACTACAGACTGAAGATCGGAATACTGAGGAGTTTGATCATCAGAAGCTTACTAGTAACGGACACTGAGTCAAAGCAAGCCTAACCACAACATTTGTGGGTTGGCACACAAGAGGCTAGGGTATGAGAAGTCAGAGACTTGGTATTAGAGCTAGAAACAGTATAGACGCGGCGGCGATGGGAGCTAGTGGGCTGACAGTAGGTTTTATAAGAGGTGTGGTCTATGTGGCAAAGGCCTGACCATGAGGCTTACTCAGAGGCTTTAGCCTCGAATTAGTCACCCAGCCGCAGAGGAGGCGTAATAACACTTCGAGTAGCAGATAAAGAGAAATACTTGAACCAGAGTGATCGCAGATGGATTCTATGGGGCAAGAGAGACTATGGTAATACCTATGGAAGGAGGACTGCGTAACAATATGGCAGACTGATCAACATTCCCAGCACAAGGATGAAAGGGGGTGAGAAGTCCAGCGTGGACTGAGGAGGGTTCTTATGAAAGCCGCTAAAAAAAGGGCACACCGTACCACATTTATTTAGGCAAGTAAAAATTGTGATGGCGAAAGCGTGATAGGAGGATATAGGAAATGTGAATAGGCAAGGGCAGAAGGAGAGGTACCATAACTGTTTAGCACACGTTTGGCCAAAGGATGGGCTTGACTTGTCTCTGACGGGTTGTAACATGGTGCTACGAATGGCAAAACTAACTTATGATGCCGACTACGATGCTGGCGAAACGTCTGAGAATGTACCACGTCCACGGTCCGACTTTGTAAATGATTATGCATACAATGGACTCCGCACAAGGTGCGTTTCTCTAAGTCTTCTTACCAATATGACAAGGTCAAACAACTTCTATACAACGAAAGGAGACTGCGACCACACAAACGGCCACACCCTCTTGGTCTTCATACCTTCGATTATACTATTAAGCAGTTATGCAATTAGATTTTATTAAATCAATAACCTAAAAATCTAGCTACAATCGAATGTTTCGATTACATTACAGTATAGTATAAAATAAAAAGGTTATTCCAGATCATTTAAAATTATTAGAGGACCTACTGGCCAGAAAAGACAGGAACAATTTTCACAAACTGCAAGTTTTGCTGAGTACATGTGTTGGTCGCCATATCGCCGGATGAGACGGGTATAAGCTCGACGCCAGTTGCAATCATCTAAAGACATACGAGTTCTCTCACAATTGACTGTCCTGACATTTTCATCACTAGGCGTCCCTGAAACACCTACGACATCAGCAGCCGTTGAAGTTTCATGATTTAAGTGATTTAACTGCTTTGGCCTCTCATGCTCATCGCGCCAACTGGGTCGACCATAGAAAACTGCTGAAAGCTGGGAGGGAGTAAAGTGTAGGAGGCTCATTCGACGCCAAAAATTTTCATCTTCAACTAGGATAGAGAGAGTTGGAGAGGCTAAAGATGCTGTAGCAAGATCCTGCGGTGAGTTCAGATTAGACAGAATATGAAACAAACATTCAGGAGGCAGACTCTCGAGTGCTGAAGTGCCAAATGTAGACCGATTAGAGCCAGATGACTGCGTTAAAGACGCAAGCGCATCAGAACATTCGCTAATCGGCCGAGGTTTGAAGCCAGTCCCAACACGGTTGAAAGAATTTTTAGTTTTCTGAAAGGATGAAAATTTATACAAGAGAAAAGAGCGAAGCAAAATTTTAAATTGAGTATGTCTCAATTTTTGCCTGTCAAATATACCCTCTTAGAATCATAAGTCACATGAGCATAAAAAACTTGATATAGGTAAAGATAATCTATTTCAGCAACAATGAGATAATCTTAATGACTGAAAAAGGGCAGACAATGGCTAAGGCTTAAATGATATTGAATTTTTTTAAGTAGGAAGCAAATTTAAAGCTAATTAACGTTATTTAACCCCAGTATAGAGCAAAAATAAGCATTGCAAATAGGATTGACCTGAGATAACACGTTATAAAAGTCTAAAACGTAGAGTCGGCAGCGAAAAACATTTTCATTGTATACAAATGGTCTGTTATAATTAGATTTTGAAGGCTAGTTAATAAAAGATATAAAAATTAAAACGCGATTGGATATCAATGAAATAGATGGGAAACTTTACCAGGAAAAGAGTTGTAATATTATGACATTCAAATTATATATTTGTGCTAAGCAAAGTTTTTCGTTGAAAGCATGAGACAAAATTCAAACCAACTGTCAAAATCTTCATTTCATAAAATCTTTTGGTCATAAAATGAGGCAAAAGATCTTTTAAGGCTTATATATAGAATGGAAAAGATTCCACGGGAAACTATCAACTTAACCAAGCTTCACGATAGTACGAATGATAAGCAATTGATGATGGAGTAGTTTCATTTCATCTGAAGAGGCAAATAAAAGGGATTTGTAAGTTGGTGTCACCGGAAGCCTTAGATAGATTGCCTTGAGGCTGTGATTGTGGATTTTTGAGAATAGATTATAAGCGTATCGCCCTGCGACCCCGATGAATCTTTGTAGAGCTGTCGTCCTTGATATAACGGACATCGTCAGAGTATGGCACTATTCTATACTATAATTCACCAACTACAGAGGCAAGAGAGGTGGCTGGCTGCAATCCTACCTACTTTTAATAGTTTAGCTAGGTCCACTTAGTGAGACAATTCAATCCCCCCAAGGCCCCTGGTGGAACCAACTTACAAATCCCTTACACTCGCTTCTTCAAACAAAATGAAAGATACTACAACACTTATCAGAGTTGTCCTGTTATCCCTGGTTC